TTTTTTTTTTTTTTTTTTTTTTATTTCTTGATTGTCTCCGTATTTCTTTTTTGGTGGGGGAGAGAGATCATTACTGTTATTCATAATAACAGCCAACATTGTCAATTTACAATGTGCCCTGACTCTAATTTATCAGCTGCTTGACCTTAGCCATGTTACTTAATTTCCTTGTGCCTTGCTCCTTATGTGTAAAATGGTACCAGCCTTACGGTCATAATGGTGAAGTGTATTCACATGTGTGGTGTCCTTATAACAGTACCTAAAATAGTGCCTTGATTTTTTTCCCTAAAACACCCCATAGCCCTGCTATCAGCAGGTTTTGTCGGTTTACCATCTCTACCACCATCATCCTGGTTCTAGGATTGTTGTTTATTATTTGTTTGCACATTGTTTATTCACTGACAGACACCTTACTGAAACTATAGAGACACAGAGGGATCAGATAGTTTGCCTAAGATCACAGTGCTGGAAATGGTAAAGCCAGAACTCTGTCCAGGTAGTCTGGCACCAACGTTGTACTCTTAACTAATATGTCATTCTTCTCAATTATACTAATAGTACATGTAAGGCATTAGTCTTATGATCAGTCATCCTTCCAAATAAGTTCCATACTATTCTCATTTCCAGAAAAAGAACTCAAGGCACAGAAAGATGATTTGCTAAGATCTGTGTTAAGGAAGCAAATTCCTCTCCCTATTCCATGGCCTGGGCCATGGCACCTCACCTATTTCTTTCCAGGTCTTCTTTGTCACAACAAATGGTACCATAGACTCCCATTTGTTTAGGCCCCAAATCTAGGATTAGCCTTGATTCTTTTAAACACCTTCTAGCCCTGTGGGGTTTGTCAGTTTACCATCTCTACCACCATCATCCTGGTTCTAGGCCCATTCTCTCTTACCAAGACTAACTGCTATAGTTTGTTTCTTTCCTTTTTTTCTTTCTTTGTTTCTTTTTTTGAGACAAAGCTTTACTTTGTCACCCTCAGTAGAGTACTGTGGCATCATAGCTCACAGCAACCTCAAACTCTTCTCAAATAATTCTTTTGTCTCAGCTTCCCTAATAGCTAGTACTATAGGTACCTACCATAGCCCAGCTATTTTTAGAGATGGTGTCTCACTCTTGCTCAGGCTGGTCTTGAACTCTTGAGCTCAGGTGATCACCCGCCTCGGCCTCACAGAGTGCTGGACTGCAATAGTTTGTTAACTGGTATCCTTAATTTCATATTTAGAATCAGTAGTCTCTTCTTTGTACAGTAGGAGGAGGGACTTGGTTAAAAACGCTTAATCAGATCATATTCATTATTCCATGTGTCATTTGGCTTCCATTACACTTAAGAATAAAATCCAAAGTCTTTACAGTAGCCTGAAAGACTTTGTCTGATCTGAGTGCACAGGGGTTATTTATTGGAAGTGTTAACCTTGAGCTGAGTTTGGAAGGAAGTGTAGGAGTTGGCTAGAATGTCCCCTTTCCCCACCTACCCATGCAAGTCTGGTTTGTGTGCCACTGCTCTGTGTACTCCCTATATGCCACTATTACAGTACTGATGATACTATTCTGCAAACTTTATCTTCCCTACAAATTCTTTGAGAACCAGAGCTATGTCTTGTTTGGCCTTGTACAATTGGTGTCTAGCACATTGTAAGCATTTGGTAAATGCTTATTATATAGTTGCCTGGATGTATGAGTGAATGAGTGTAAAATGTCAAGGCTACTTGTGGATAGCTTTGGGATAACAAAAGGCACTGGGGGAAAGGGAGTAGAACTAGGGAAGCAGGCATCAAGAAATATAAGACAGAAGAATATAGATAATTCCTTCAAATCCTTATGCCTCCAAAAATCATCTCTAGTTTGATTTTTGGTACATCCATCCCAATCACTCAAGGTATCAAATAATATTTAATGTTAATTCTCATTAAACCAAGATGCAGGACAGTGCCTGTGGCTCAGTGAGTAGGACGCTGACCCCATATACTGAGAGTGGTGGGTTTGAACCCAACCCCAGCCAAACTGCAACGAAAAATAGCCGAGTGTTGTGGCAGGCACCTGTAGTCCCAGCTACTCCGGAGGCTGAGGCAAGAGAATCGCCTAAGCTCAGGAGTTGGAGATTGCTGTGAGCTGTGACACCACCACACTCTACCGAGGGTGACAAAGTGACACTCTGTCTCTAAAATAAATAAATAAACCAAGATGCATCTAATTTTGTGTAATATAAGTACATTATTAAAGATGAATGAATATGAACTAAAAAAGGGATACTTTTGGAATATAAAGATGAATGTGTGTAAATTATTTATTAAGCATATATAAGAATACTTAGAACTGTAATTTGATTATTCTTTATTTTTAGTGGAATACCGGCAATGGTGGATTTTGCTGCTATGAGAGAGGCAGTGAAAACTCTTGGAGGTGACCCTAAGAAAGTCCATCCTGCCTGTCCAACCGATCTTACAGTTGACCATTCTTTACAAATTGACTTCAGTAAATGGTACTTCAATACAGACATTTATAGCCATCCAAGTTAACTGGTAACTAATCCACTGGAAGTGTATAGAAAGGAGTAGAGATAATTAATGCCAAAAACTGGTAACCAATCCCCTGGAAGATAAAAGGAAAAGGAGTAAAGATAATTAACACCAGAGGAAAGTGTGCAATATTTAGTATTGACTAGTATAGAAAAGGAAAAACTGGTGGAAAGTTTGTGGATTAGTGACTTTTTGTATACTCGGTCTGAGTTTATTTTCATCAGTTTGTGTACTTCTACTGTCATTTTATGTATAAGCTTAGAGCCTACTTTTTGGAGTGAACATTTGAATTCGGTTTTTTTGTTTTGTTTTTTAACCTATTTACCTTTCACAGAGAATGATGTGAGCCGTGAATGTCTTCAACTAATGGTGACTGAAAACACTGAGCTCACTAAAGCTGTTTTCCTAACATTGAAATAAGTTTTTTATATTTATATGGCCCATTTGACTAATATCATACTAGAGAAGATATATTTGCACCAGCTTTCATTTTTACATTTCTTGGAGTAGCAGAAAGATTACAACCTACTGCAACTCATGAGATATTTTGCCGTTTAGTTTAAACTGTAGTTCTGACCTTCTAAGTTGTTGGGGGAAGGGGGGGGGATCTGTTTTGATATTTGCTAAAAGTTATTTTAATTGGTATAGAGTATATGAAAATGATTCTATGGGACATTTAGGATTATGTTTTCATCTCTGGAAGTGATAATTACATGTTTCTGTTTTTTATAATGTAAGATTTGCTTTTGAAACTTGAATTAAATGATACGTTTGCCTTTGAACATCATTTAGTTACTTCCAGATGACATTGCTAGTCTACGTTTCTTTTTTCTAAAGAGCTGAATTGCTGTCCATTTTAAATGGCTTTATTTTGTTTCTTTTTGGAATGATAGTACAATACAGAATGCGCCAAATCCTGGAGGTGGTGACCTGCAGAAAGCAGGAAAGCTCTCTCCACTTAAAGTGCAGCCTAAGAAGCTCCCCTGCAGAGGCCAGACTACCTGCCGAGGATCATGTGATGCTGGAGAACTAGGCCGGAACTCAGGAACATTTTCTTCACAGATTGAGAATACACCCATCCTGTGTCCTTTTCATTTGCAACCAGTGCCTGAGTATGAGATTATTTTGTTAATATTTATTAGTGCCAGGTTGTTTTGCAGTTAAGGAAATCATGTTTTTCTCCTTCCCACCCAATTCCTATTACATTGTCTTCATACTTATGTATTGGATTGTATCTTTATGTATATTTTCTATTTTACTGAAAGAAGCAAATTTAATTATTGTGGTGGTATGGAAATACTGTTTTCTAATTCTGTTCTTTAGGAAGCAAACCTTAAGATGTATCTGTAAATATATTTTATTTTTATGACTAATGAGGCAGAAAAGTGGGATTCACAAATTCTTTTGTGAATTTCCTATATATTTTTTGGTAGTTTTTTTCCTACTGGGGGTTTCTTCAGAAAAGTGGGATTCACAAATTCTTTTGTGAATTTCCTATATATTTTTTGGTAGTTTTTTTCCTACTGGGGGTTTCTTATTTTTTCCTACTGTATTCAGACCACTATGTTAAGGATATAATTATTATTAAATCTAATAAGCCCTTTAAAATAAGTGATTTCCTATATGGTACCATGGAAAATAGTAAACATACCTAGAAAAGAATTTTATTCTTAGGTTTTAGCTAGATTTCCCAGTAAGTAATTTCTCAGAATAAGAAAAAGAGTTTGGTGTCTTGAATTTTCATATGCTATAGTGTCCAGAGTCTAATTTTTATAAGAGTTATGTTTATCCCACTGTTGATAGCCTTTTTTTAATTTAATAAAAAATGACTTATACTTTACGTTTAAAAAATTCAACACATTTAAGATTTAGAATAGCTAAGAATAATACCTTCTCTTATTTATGTTAAGTGCCAAATAATGCATTGTTCCCTTTGTCTCTGAACTAGATTTTTTAGTTCTAAAATTTTAGGCTGAGTATTTTTATAAAGCCTCAGGTTATAGCGACTTCATCATGTGTTCTTCCTAAGACCTTAATATGGTCCTCCCTTTATAATTGGCAGAGTGTTAAAGTACTTAGTAGCATATATTTTTTTTATTTCTAAAAATCCAATCTTGTGTAACATTTCCCTTCAATTTTGAATTCTAAATTATAAGTATTATGATAGGTTATATTATAGTCCCTGGCTGTATGAAAACAGTAACTCTTTTATGTTCTTTAGTACATCAGTAAAGTATTAATTATAGACGGAAACAAGAAATTGAGGGTTTGAAAGGTGAGAGTATAACATTTGGCACTTGAAATTACTGCCTAATTTAAAGTCAGGTTATGAGCTAATAAATGTATGATACCCTCAGTGCTATGGAAAGGTAAAATAATTGTGGCTTTAGAAAGCTGTGTTCCCTGAGGCTCTGAGAAAAATCTCTCTAAGCTTCAAAAGATCACTGAGCCATGAATTATTAAAGCAATTTGTTTAAAAAAAAAAAAAAGTTGACAACTGTAATTATCTGGGCCCTGGAGGACATGTATAATTTAAGGTATGTTGACATTCTAGTCACCACTTAATCACCAGCTGCCAGGTGAAATAAACAACTTAAAGCTGTTTGAAATAATTTTTTAAAAATATTTTTTTAGATAAAAAGTTATCTAAAATTGGTACTGTTTACTGCTTAAAGGTCAGTTGTTTTTGTCTCTTAAATAATTTGTGTAAAATATATTTATAATCCACATAAACTGTTATACATAAAATAGAACCTTTGATTTGGGGCAAAATGAATAAAAGATTTTTGCTGGAAACTTTGTTTAAACTATAGAATGATGTTGAGATGTTGTCCATCAATATTTATCTTGTTTAACTGACTCAAGAGCCAAGTGGAGAGAAATGTACATGCTTATTGTTGAATAAGCTACTACCCTCCTTTCTTGCATTGGAAAACCCAGCAAAACTTAGCATTTATTTTTATTATGATTTAAGTACAATTTTTTATGCTAGTGTGGGCATGACTTTCTTATGCTATATAAAATAATAACTCCTTTCTATAACTTTCTAATGTATTATTTAAAGCAGAACTTGTTGGCAAAGAACCCTGAGAAGTCTAATAAATTATTCCTCCAAGGATTTTAATATGCCTGTGTGTGTGTGTGTGTGTGTGTATATATATATATACACATATATATATATATATATATATATATAACGAATGATGACTTAGAAAGAAACAAGGCAAGTCTTTTTTACATATATTTAATGCCAGCTCTTCTTTCTTTTAGACCTGAAACAGTGTTAAAAAATCAAGAAGTAGAATTTGGCAGAAATCGAGAGAGGCTTCAATTTTTCAAGGTATAAGTGATTCAGGGAAATTTTTGTATTGGAATTTATAAAATGTTGATATGTACAACTTTTATATCTTTAATGGTATTTAAAGGCTTTATAGTAGTAGAACCTTTTTATTCTTTTAAATAAAGTTTTATTGGAAACGGCAGTGTATAAAGAAAGATGAAAACAGTGGCCCTAGTTTTTTGGGCTTTTTTGTGGAGTCACTTTGTCACCCTCAGTAGAGTGCTATGATGTCATAGCTCACAGCAACCTCAAACTCTTGGGCTCAAGCAGTTCTCTCGCCTCAGCCTCCCAATTAGCTGGGATTATAGGTACCCACTGCAGTGCCTGGCTATTTTTAAAGACAGGGTCTCGCTCTGGCTCAGGCTGGTCTTGAACCCATGAACTCAGGCAATCCACCCATACAGCGTCCCAGATTATAGGCATGAGCCACGGCGCCTGGCCCACAGTGGCTCTAATTTAAGAGAGCTTAGAGGAAGACCCTGCACATTGGGCCTGCCTTCCTTCCCACCCTGAGAATCCTTGGAACACAGTTGAATGCCACTGTCATCTGGACAATTTGAACATTTTTATTTGACCTAACTTTGTTTCGGTCATCTACAAAACAAGTATGTTTAGGTTTGGTATCTATATACTTGTGTTTAAGTATGTGATGTGAACTTGGAATTTATCATATTGGACATTGTTTAAAATATTTTTAGTGTCAATATTCCTTTATAGCTTGTAAGCACAAATTCATATAATGTACTAACATTTGTATTTCTTAAAATTTAAACAAAATGCAGTGGAGTTCAAGAGTTTTTAAGAATGTAGCTGTAATCCCTCCTGGAACTGGAATGGCTCATCAAGTAAACTTAGAATATTTGTCAAGAGTGGTTTTTGAAGAAGAGGATCTTCTCTTTCCAGACAGTGTAGTTGGCACAGATTCACATATAACCATGGTGAATGGTTTGGGAATTCTGGGATGGGGTAAGTAAATGACCAAATATATTTAATTGTTTTGGGGGTGCGGATGTCAAGAGCATTGTAAAAGATCACAAATAGTAGGTCTTTATGGCCTCCTTGAGACTCCATTTTTTTCATCTATAATAGCAACAACAACAAAATCTTAACTCAAGGGTTTGTGAGCAGTGTGGTAAAAGAGGATTTATCAATAGGAATTTGCACAGTCTGCAGCTCAGTGCTACCATTTATGAAGTCATTGAGTGATGATATGTCTACAGAGGTTTTGTTTAAAGTTCTCGTGAGTCTTCTTGCCTTCTTTATGAATTCAAATTCCTTAGCATTTTACACGTTCTTTCACCTTTTATAGGTGAAGCCCCTTTGGCCATGGCCCCCACCCATCTTAGAGACTAGCCATTTATTTACCTGAGTGGGCTGTGCTCTTTTGTGCCTTAGGGCTTTGTGTAGGCTATTCCTTCTGGCAGAATACACTCCACTGATCATCATTTTTGTTATTGAAATGAGGTTACTATTAACTCTTTAAGACTAACCTCAGGTATCTTCTAAAAGCCTTAGTTTTACACTGAGTTAGATGTACACCCTCCCCCCCCTTCTTGGTACTTAACTCTTTACAGGGTGTTATATTTGTTCACGGGCAGGGTCTTTTTTATTAAATTGTACTCCTTGAAGTTGACAGGGACTAGGCTCTGTTTATACCTTGAGCGTAGTGCAGTGCCTATCATAATAAATATTCACTAAATCTTTACCGAATTCAATATAAAGGTAAAATATCAGGTTTTTTCAACCATGCACGTGGAGTCATCTTTTTGAGAAGGCTTGGGTTCAGTGTCCACATTAATAGCACTGCAACAAAGCTTATGGCACTATGTAAGATAAGCTTGTGTGAAACACCTAGAGATACAAATGTTATAGAGATAACTAAAATTCTCTTTAAATGTACTGTGCTACTATACTTGTCTTTATTACTTTAGGGGTTGGAGGCATTGAAACAGAAGCAGTTATGCTTGGTCTACCAGTTTCTCTTACTTTACCAGAAGTGGTTGGATGTGAGTTAACTGGGACATCAAATGCCTTTGTTACATCCATAGATGTTGTTCTTGGCGTTACAAAGGTAAGTTATAGTTGTGGTAGCTGTGTGACTTGTAAATGAAGGAGTCTTGTAAAAGCAAGGATTTGGGTTCCTCACTGCATCCTCAGATCTCTGATGTTGTCATCATAGTTATCATCACAGTAATAATAGCAAACAACAATTACTTTGTACGAGTAAGTATAAAAAATTTTGTTTTGTCATTGTTTACTTGACATAAGCAGCTCATTTATTGCTCATAACAAGCCTGTGAGACAGGTACTATTTATTACTGTCCTCATTTTAAATCTGAGAAAATTGAGACACAGGTTTAATGATGTACCTAAGAGTCATCAGATTGAATAGTAAGTCAGGTTCTTGAGTCCATGCTTTTAACCATTATGCCTTATTAATGCCTTGTTACCTCAAAAAGTATGTGTACTCTAAATGAACTAAAAAATCATTTAGCAAAGGTTGATTCTGTCTCCTTTCATTGAATTATTTGCCTGTTACATTAGAAATGTGATGTGTCAGATTTTTTTTATTTGTTTTAACATTTCTTTGAAGTATTAAAAAGAAACCTTTTCTCTTAATTTATATTGGCTGCATGCCTTTAATACATTGACTGAGCTTCTTGATGACCATATTAATATATATGTTCAAGGGTTTCCTGGTGAACAATAATTTGTAACTCTGCATCCCAAATTTCTGGTTTTCCCTAACTTTAATGATTAAGTCCCATTTTGGTCATTGAAAGTACCTGGAAAGTGTTCCACATATAATCCCAATTTGGATCCCAGCATCTCAGCATTTTTGGTTAGATTATTGGTCTAAAGTCTTTCAGGAAACTACTCTACAGGGTAAGAAAATGATAATGCCTCCCTCAGTGTTTGGTATTGATCCTTCTTCCCTAATTAGAAAAAAAAATTGACAACTTAAAGAAATGATTGATTCCGAGTATGGTACCAAAAGATCAAGAAGTTGGGAATTGCAAGATTATTCCTAATGGAAAAGGAATATCCCATTATGTTTTTAGAGAAATCAGTTCTCAAACATCCTGAAAATTATTGCTGCTCTTTAGACTTCTCTTATTGTGTTTTTCCTTAGCAACATTACTGTCTATGTTTTTGACATATTAATTCATTGTTCAAGAAAAATTATGTATGCTTGCATTTATTGAATATGTTATTACTTCTTTTTTGTTCTATTCATGATCTTTATAGGGGGAATCAATCGTGTTATCTTCCAAAATGTAAATATTGTAGTACCTTCTTAATTTGATGAAAATAGCATCTGGCTTGGTGTATCTAATCTGTATTTCTCTCATCTTTAAAAATATAACCATAAGTACAAAGAAATGTCTTTATGTAAGGTTTGAGTTTCTGGATCTATAAAAAAGAATTTAGATTTAAATAATCCCTAACCCCTCTAAAATGTTAGGACTTAATATTATTCCTAGGGTTGAGTGTAGTATCATTCTTATTTATTTCCCTAGGTACTTTGCTTGTACCAACCTGAAACTATTTTTCAAGTTAGAAAAGATGAGTAACGGTTTGGGTTACTTGATAGTAACAAAGAAAAGTGATTGTAAAAAGGAAAAAGTTTGAGATAATGTGTTAGAAATTCTACTGAAATGGAATTTACCTATAATTATTAATAATGTAAATATTTGAATCAGTAGTTACAATTTGAAAAAACTTAAAGCCAGTGTTAATTTTTATTTAAATATGTAATTTCATCAGTATATTAGTATTTTATAAATCTAACATGCCACTAGTGATTAAGAACACTACTATCAGGGCGGCGCCTGTGGTTCAAAGAAGTAAGGCACTGACCCCATATTCCGGAGGTGGCAGGTTCAAACCCAGCCCCGGCCAAAAACTACAAAAAAAGAAAAATATACCACTGTCAGCTAAGTACACATACCCTTGAGTCTAAATATCCTAATTTCAGAGAGATTAAAGTGTGACAAAGTCATCTTGAGCTATCAGGTTCTTGTCTGTCTGTCTGTCTTTATTTTTTTTGTTGTTGTTCTGGTTTCTTTTCTTTCTTCCTTTTTCTTTTCTTCCTTCCTTTTTCTTTCATTCAAGAGATGGGGTCTCACTCTGTTGCCCAGATTAGGGTGCAGTGGTACCATTATAGATATTGTAGCCTCAAACTCCTGTGCTCAAGCAGTCTTTTTGCCTCAGCTTTCTGAGTACCTGGGACTGCCAGCACAAACCACCATACCCAGCTAGGCCCTGATTAACAGTGACATTGGACCACTCTTCTCTTGATTATTTATCTGAGAATACCTATAAACCCAGAAGAAGTTGATGTTTCATCACTAGTATTGGTAAAAAATTAGATGTAGTTTTCAGGAAATCCATACTAATCTTATCATTGCTGATTTTGTGTGTTTCTATGTATCTCTTTATATAGCACCTCAGGCAAGTAGGAGTGGCTGGAAAGTTTGTTGAGTTTTTTGGAAATGGAGTTTCACAATTATCTATAGTTGATCGAACTACAATAGCAAACATGTGTCCAGAGTATGGTGCTATCCTCAGCTTTTTCCCTGTTGACAATGTGACATTAAAACATTTAGAACATACAGGTAAGAAAAAGATCTTTAGAATAAATGTGTTACATTTCCGTTGTGTCTGCCTAACTACATTTCATAATAAATTATGTCTTACATGCAGATATGTGTTATTTAATATCTGTGAAATTATCTTATTTATAAACAATGGCTCTCCATCTGTATCAGATGTCTCTGAAGAGTGTTATCTTCTCAAACCCTAGTTCCCTGTTGACCCAACAGTGATTTAAAGGAATTATTCGGACCACTGAACCTCACTTTTTTCCCCATAATGATGGCCACCTCCACTCTTTCTTAGCGATCAGAGGTTGCAATTTAATGCAAGTCAGCCTTGAGCATGTTCACAACTGCTCCCTTCTATATCCAGAAGTACAGGACCTGCCAGACAAAAAGACTTAGAATCAGTATTCTATCTAAAGAACAAGATGCACATAATTTTGCAAAAAGCAACAAAAGGCTACTTGTTGCAAATCTTGCAAAATTTTTGATCTTTTATTGATTGTTTAAAATAGAAAGTACTAGGAGTGGGAAAGGGGGGGGATCATGTGCTCCCACTTAATGGGCACAATGTAAGGGTATATGGCTCACCTCTTGGGTGCAAGACACAACTACAATTGGGACTCTACCTAACAAATGAAAACATTGTAACTTAATTGTACCCTCATATTAATCTGAAATAAATGAAATAATACCTGCAAAACTAGGATGCATTGACATTTCATAAGGCCAATATTCTTTAAAAAGTATGATCTCTTTAATTTTGTGAGGTAATCATTGCTGAGTTACTTAGGTCTAATCATAGATACTTTGGGGGATACATTCTAGTATTTTTCACTTAGGGGCAGATTATTTTAAGTCAGTGAATCACATGGCAAAATGGATAACTGGCCATGTGGAACCCTGGAGAGGAATGGTCCCCATAAAATGCAAAACTTCTGGATTTTGTTGGTAGAACATTCAGGAGAGAAACGGCTAGAGGTAACTCATTCTTTGAGTATTAACCTGCATTACGGTATTAGTGATCTGTTACTTTGTAACAAATTATCCTAAAATTTAGCAGCTTACAAGAGCAATAATTATTGCCTCACAGTTTCAGTGGTTCACTGGTTCAGTAATTCAGACAGGGCACAGTGGGGACAACTTGTCTCTGCTTTATGAAGCCTGGGCCTCAACCTGTAAGATTTGAAAGTAATGCCTAGAATCCTGAAGGCTGGTTCCTCTCCAGGTCTGACAGTGAATACTGGCTATCAGCTCAGCTGGGGTCTTGACTAAGCTTGTCAGGCAAAACACCCACATGTGGCTGCTCCATGTAGCTTTCTTAGATAGTGGATTCTCAAGGGCAGGGAGAGAAAGAGAAAGTTAAATAAATATATAAGTAACACACTTGTCTTATGTTATCACTGGAATTCAGGACTCTTTTTCTCTCAAAGATTTCAAAATTCCTTAACTGGAGTTTACTATTTTTGTTTATCATCTTTTTAGGTTTTGACAAAGCCAAACTCGAGTCAATGGAAACATACCTTAAAGCTGTGAAATTGTTTCGAAATGACGAGAATTCTTCAGGAGAACCTGAATACTCCCAGGTAAGTGCAAATTAAGCCATGGTAATAGTACTTAAGAGTGTAAATTTCAGAGCCTAATCACCTAGGTTTGAATCCCAGCTCTGAAACTATTTACCATATAACCTTGGGCAATTAGCCTTTCTGCCTCAGTTTCTTCATCTCTTAAGTATGACAATAATATATACATCATAGGATTCTTAGATTAAATACAAATTCATAAAATAATTCCAGACACATAGTAAATGCTTAAAAGGGATAGTTATTATTTAAAAAATATGTTTGTAACCTAGTCCTTTTATTTTACAAAAATTTTTATTGTAGTGTATTCTGTAACATTTTTTCAAGTATGTTTTTTTAGTGTTTAAAATGTAATCTTAACTCCTAATTCTTGCTATAATTTTTTCTATTTTACAATAAGAGTACTGTAATACCTTTCCCAAAGTAATCCATTTTGATTATCTGTATCTGGTCTATGACTATAGTTTGCAAAATTATATTTTATTAAAAAGATACACTGTTATATGGTCTTAAATGTTAGTTTCAAAGATATTTTACAATGTACGCAAATATCTTTTGGAAATTTATGTTGAAATAGGCAGAATTCACTTAATAAAATAAAATTCATTTTCTAGGAATATGTCAAGTCTATAATATCTTGATATTATCATGGGTTTGGTTAAGTGTTAAGCTATTTTTGTGGGAAAATCTGTTTTTTTGCCTGGCTTTATTTTTCTTAATAGCGTATTCCTACCTGACAATATCTGTTAATTGGTATGCTTGTCTGTCTTTCCTCTACTAGAATACAAGTAAGCTCCATGAGGACAGGAAATTTGTTTTATTTGGCATTGTAACCCCAGCTCTTAAAACAGTAAATATTTAATAAACACTTCAGGTGAATAAATGAATACATATAGGTGTACTAAAAAGCTTCGTATAGAACCAGAGGAATTGAATTTGTGTAACACTTGGGCAAAACTTTTTAACTTTTTAACAACTTTGATCATTTTTTGGTTCCTTTCACCTCTGTTTAATGAATCTAGTGCTTTGTTCATATTCTTTAAAAAGATATATTGCAAAGAAAAAGGAAAGTTGGATGGAAAAATTACACTGAGTAGAATAAAAATGACATAAATTTGCCTATTTAAAAAAACCTGACCATATTAAGAAATAAAACTAAAATCAAGATGTGGATTTCAAGAGAAACTCCTTAAATGCATACTTAAGGGCAAAGACTTGGATCACCTGAATTGTTAAACAAAAGTGCAAGAAAGATGGTTAAGATAATTCAGAATAAACATAGCTATTAAATAATAATGAAAACTATAGTGAAGAGAAAGTTTCAAATTGGCTTTATCCACATAAAATTCACAAAGAAAATTGTAGAAATAGCATGAGAAATAAGTAGAGACCTAGTTGGGAAGTGGGATTTTAACAAAATATGATCTTATTTATTTTTTGAGACAGAGTCTTTCTCTGTGATGCCCTGGCTAGAGTGCTGCTGCGTCAGCCTAGCTCACAGCAACCTCTGACTCCTAGACTCAGGGGATCCTCCTGCCTCAGCCTCTGGAGTAGTTGGAACTACAGGTGCCTGCCACCACATCTGGCTAATTTTTTCTGATTTTAGTAGAGATGGGGTCTCACTTTTCTCAAGTTGGTCTCAGATTCCTGAGTTCAAGGGATCTTCCCACGTTTGCCATCCAGAGTGCTAGGATTATAGGTGTGAGCCACCGTACCCTGCCAAAATATTTCTTAACCAAGGAATAAAAGCCTGGTCTGCAGGAGTCTGTCCAGCAAGACCTTTTTCTGCTGTGTCCCTGCAGCGGCCTTTATTGTCCAGGCTTCCTATCATGCAAGCTAACAAAGGAGAAATGCTCGAGCATTCAACCATTACCTCAGCTCAGCGGCTAAGGCGCTGGCCACATACACTGGGGCTGGCAGGTTCGAACTTGGCCCGGGAAAACAACAATGACAACTACAACAAGAAAACAGCTGGGCATTGTGGTGGACGCTTGTAGTCCCAGCTACTTGAGAGGCTGAGGCAAGAGAATTGCTTGAGCCCAAGAGTTTGAGGTTGCTTTGAGCTGTGACACCATGGCACTCTACCAAGGATGATAAAGTGAGACTGTCTCAAAAAAACCCCAATTATCTCCATGACCCTCAGTGATTCCCCAGCAATTAAAAAAAAACAACAGTTACCTCCGTGATCACAAAGCAGGCAAGAAAGGGGGGCGGGGATTTAGCACTCAAGAGGCGCACTAAGTCTATAGCTGGTATAGGCATCTGCTTTATCACTGGCCATCTGTTAAGAGTATTTATCTTTGTGGGAAAAAACACAGTTGGGAAACCTTAGGGTTTTTTTGTGGACATTATGATTAGTGTTGTGGTAGTTTGGTTATATACTGATCTGCTAGTCTTGCTTTTAGAAAATTTTCATGTTGTATTTTATAAATTTAAATGGGCTTGTTTTAAAAATCCTTATTTTGACCATTAAAACAGATTGCATTAAAATAAATGATCACTCATTCTGCTTCAGAAAGTAATGCTTGAATTTAAGCCTGTTCTTAGGGATTCTGATTTCTTGTCTTCCTCTTCTCATTTTCTAGGTGATCCAAATTAATCTGAATTCAATAGTTCCCTCTGTTAGTGGTCCAAAAAGACCTCAGGATAGAGTTGCTGTGACAGATATGAAAAGTGATTTCCAGGCTTGCTTAAAAGAAAAGGTAAGTTTCTGTATTGTTATCATTTGTCAACGAGCTTTGTGTTAAGTAATAAGGAATCAACAAGGTGACCCATAAGCTCATTCGCAGCTGCCTTTCTATAGATTGTGGTATGCACCATAAGTTCTTTTGGTAAGCTATTCCCACTCTCAGTGTGAGAGTCAGAGATTGATTGTGCCTATTTAAATTAAAATTTAAACTAATTAAAATTAAATAAAATTTAAAGTTGAGTTTCTTAGTCACTGGAGTCTTCTTTCAAATGCTGATTAGAAACATGTGACTATGGCTCTTACATTGAATAGCACAGATAATGAATATTTATATCATCACAGAAAGTTTTATTAGATAGCACCATTCCAGGCTTTTGTGACTTCCTATGCTAGGAACAAAACTATGACATTGTAATTACTTTCATAAAATTTGATAAAATGTAACTGAGTAACAAGTGATCTCTTTGGCATTGGGAGGGGTTTGTATTTTCTGTGTGAGAATCACGGAGTCAGTCTTGTCACTTTGTCTGTTTTATTGTGAGAACTAGTAGTTGGCTTTCTTTTCAGAGCCTTTCTTTTAATGATTGCTTCTTGATTATTTGGAAGATGTTAAACTTGTGCAAAAATAAATAATGTAATGAATTGCCATATAGTTGTCCAGCTTCACTAATTACCAACTCATAGCCTATTATGTTTCATCTATACCACACTCATAAACATAAGATCATTTCGGAGCAAATCTTGAGGGCCATTTTTTAATAGAAAATGGTTTGTATCCTTTCTTGTGAATTATTATAAATAGGAATGAATAAAAAACAACAAAGCCAAATAAGATCCAGATTCTGAGTAGTTGACTAGACTCACTTGAATAATAAAAACTTTGCCTGTGATTCCTATTATAACTATTTAAATTATGTTATAGGCCTCTCACATCACTCACAGTTAGAATTTATCAATGCCTAGTGTCTTTTTTTTTTCAGTTTTTTTTCCTATCCTTATCTAGAATATTTCATTTATATTTTGTGCAAATTTATGTAGGTTGGATTTAAAGGCTTCCAAATTGCAGCTGAAAAGCAAAATGATACCGTCTCCATTCATTATGAAGGAAGTGAATATAAGCTATCTCATGGGTCAGTGGTCATTGCTGCAGTTATTAGTTGTACCAATAATTGTAATCCATCCGTCATGCTTGCTGCAGGTAGGTTATGGTTTATGGTCATACTTTTTTCTCCTAAATTATTATATGTGTCCCATTTTATTCACGTTCTGTTTTTTAGATTATGTTTGAATATCAGTATCTAACATTTGATATTCAGAGACTTTCTCAGATTTTTTTATCAGATCTTAAAGAGTTTGATTTATGTTATTAATTTTGTTTTTATTACACAGAAGGTAATTTTTTTTTTTTTTACTATAATTTACACAACTTAATTTTAGGTCATATCTGCTTTTGTTTAGTGTATATATAGTTAATTAGCAGCTGTTTCTTTTTTTTTTTTTTTTTTTTGAGGCAGTCTCATTTTGTCACCCTTGGTAGAATACCATGGCATCATAGCTCACAGCAGCCTCAAACTTGGGCTCAAGTAATTCTCTTGTCTCAGCCTCCCAAGTAGCTGGGACTACAGGCACCTGCTGGTTCAGGCTGGTCTTGAACCTGTGAGCTCAGGCAGTCTACCCACCTCTGCCTCTCAGAGTGCTAGGCATGAACATCTAGTCTAGCAGCTGTTTCTTGATTACTAGAAGTTAACTGTAAATAGTGTGCTAGATTTCATTGAGAGTTTTGAAAGAAGTGTAAGTGAAATCTGTTGATATACACGTGAGAACAATTCATTGTATAAAACCATGGATAGTAAGGGTTAAATTGCCCTTAAGTTAGTGTCATTATGACATTTAAAAATGGTTCAGTTAATATCTACTGTATATGTGCATCCTTTCTATTTGTATGAATGATGCCGTGTCATCTTATACTTTATTAATTTACAACATAAAGGTGGTATATTTGCTATAATTTTTTTTTTCTGGTTTTTGGCCAGGGCTGGGTTTGAACCCACCACCTCTGGCATATGGGGCCGGTGCCCTACTCCTTTGAGCCATAGGCTCCACCCTACTATAATTTTTAATGTATTTTAAATGAAGCAAATCAGTAGATAAAATGGACAAAATAATGACAGTAAATTTATGAATATGAACTTTTGTTCCGGTCTGAACTGGAGACAAGTATATTAAATAAACCTTTTCTCACCTATTTAAGTCATTGTTTGTTGACTGTGCAGGTCTTTTGGCTAAAAAGGCTGTTGAAGCTGGTCTGCATGTTAAACCTTATATAAGAACAAGTTTATCTCCAGGCAGTGGAATGGTTACACATTACCTCAGTTCAAGTGGAGTATTGCCATACCTTAGTAAGCTTGGGTAAGTGACAGTTACTATTTTAATTGACATTGGTATTAAGTACATGTCAATACTACTTGTTGAGACTTTTCATATTCAACAATATGACAAAAAAAGTGTGCTTTAGTTTTATTGGTTAACTTTTGTCACACAATCTTTGAGGCCTTATCACTCAGCAAATATTTATTGGATATAGCCGATGACCAAGGTGCTCATTGGCTACTTACAAGATATGATATGATCTTCATGATAATTCATTGATCCTCAATAGTAAAACAAGTAAAATCAAATAATAATGATACACAGTTAAAGAAATAGTACCAAGAAGTACATAATTTTCATGAATTGTGGAGATCAGAAAAGAATGAAATCTTACAGGTTGTATTTGTGGAGTAAATTGTCTTAATGTAGTTTTGTGAAGTTATTGGACATACACTATATAAATTCAGCTGTCCCTGAACTTTGAAAAGATAATTTTTGTATTTTTTGGTAATAAAAAAAAATTGATGTGTTTTCATAATACAGTTTGGATTATCTTACATATATCATTAATTTCTTTGCAAAATTGATCAATTTTATGTTTTTTGCTTTTGGAATAGGATCTGGAAGTAATTTAGAGGATTATACCTCTTTTATTTATTTATTTGGGTTTTCTTGTTGTTGGCAGTTGTTGTTTAGCTGACTTGGGCTAAATTCAAACCTGCCAGCCTTGGGTGTATGTGGCGGGCCCCCTACCCGCTGAGCTACGGGCGCTGCCTGGATTATACCTCTTTTTAGTTAGATCATCTTAGAATTATTGTCAGAGACTTTTCTTGGGTTTAATTGGTTTAGAATGTAAACATTTACTTCTATCTGGGTACCCAATTACAATGCCTGTTTTGGGTCCTTTGGTCAGATTATTATAGTCAAATCCTCTTGATACTTTACAGTTTAAACCCATTTGGATGGAAGTTTAATATTAATTTTTTAAAAGGTCATTCTTATTTATTGATAAAGGTTAATCCATGTGTCAGAAATATTCTTTTCTTTCTTTCTTTCTTTTTTTTTTTTTTTTTGAGATAGTCTCACTATGTCACCCTCAGTAGAGTGCCATGGCATCACAGCAACCAAAACTTTTGGGCTTAAGTGATTCTCCTGCCTCAGCCACCAAACTAGCTGAGACTACAGGTGCCCATCACAACGCCCGGCTATTTTTTGTTGTAGTTGTCATTGTTTAGCAGCCTGGGGCCAGGTTAAAACCTGCCAGCCTCGGTGTATGTGGCTGGCACCATAACCACTGTGTTACGGACGTCGAGCCAGAAATATTCTTCTAAGTAATCTTATTGTAGTGATGGAATTAAAAGATAAGACTTGTCCTTTCTTTATGAATGTCATGATGTACTTTCCACTCACATTTTTTTATTTAAATGCAGATTTGAAATAGTTGGCTATGGATGTTCAACATGTGTGGGAAATACCGCACCCTTATCAGAAGCAGTTTTAAATGCAGTAAAACAGGTAAAATGTGTGGATCAGCAAGCCACCTAAATGACTTCTTAACTATATTTTGTTATTAAATTTTAGAAAACATATTGATGTATTTATATTTCCATATAGTCTTTGTACCTGTAGGGAAGAGAAACTTGGGAGTGTTAAAATGATTCAGAGTCATTTCTTGGTCTTTGAAATAATTCTTTTTTTGTTGTTGTTGTTGTTGTTGTCGTTGAGACAGAGTCCCACCCTATACCCTGAGCAGAATGCAAGGGCGTCATAATTTACTGCAACCTCTGACTCAGGCTGTGGGCGTCCCACTGCCTCAGCCTCAGCCTCTGAAAGCCACTGGAATTATAGGTGCTTGCAGCAGCGCCTGGCTGGGTTTTTCATTTTTTTAGGAGTTGGGGTCTCCCTCTAGCTCAGGCAAGTCTCGAACTCCTGAGCTCAAGCAATTCCCTCCTCAACCTCTCACAGTGCTGGGATTACAGGCGTGAGCCACTGCGCCCGGCTGAAATAATTTCTTGATAATGTAAGGAATTAGTTTTGGTTTTTGTTTGGGGGGCTTTTTTTAGGATTTTTTTTTTTTTTTTAAGTTTATTTACAGGGTTGATAGTTCCATATCTAAAAATTACTAATGTGTTTTTTGATTGCTTAGCCCTCAGACTGTGATATTTAATATTACTTATTTATGACTATCTAAATTTGTACCATCTTGTGGATTGAATATGTGTATGTGTGTGTTTTTTTTTTTCAGGGTGATTTGGTTACCTGTGGAGTTTTATCTGGAAACAAAAATTTTGAAGGTCGCCTTTGTGATTGTGTTCGTGCCAATTATCTTGCCTCTCCACCCTTAGTGGTAGCTTATGCCATAGCAGGCACAGTGAATATAGATTTCCAGACAGAGCCTTTAGGTATCTTTCTTTTCCTTTCTGTATATGTACACACATATTTCACACACACGTTTCCCCCAGAAGTTGCTGTGTTTTTGAAATGTTTCTTAGACTGTCCATTCTTCAAATTATTGCAGGAAAACTTATGTAGTTATTAATTTCTGTGTTCATGTGAAGTTGCAAGTAATTAGTTCTTCCAGCTGAAGCATCCTGTTGTTGAATAATTTACTTGGTTTCTGTGATATGTCTTTGAAAAGTTGTGAACATTTTGAGGGAGTTATTTTTATTTGCTGAATATCATGTTCAAATTATTTAACCAGGTACTGACCCTGCTGGCAAAAACATTTACCTGCATGATATTTGGCCTAGTCGAGAAGAAGTTCATCAGGTAGAAGAAGAATATGTTATACTATCCATGTTTAAAACATTAAAAGAAAAAATAGAGGTAAGAGTCTTTTGTCTCTTTTATAGTTTAATAAAGTTGCATGTTTTTTTATTTCATACATCTTTGTAAGTATAATAAAAATTAAAATTTATTATTGTGGTCTCGGCACCCATATCTCAGCTAAAACAACAATGACAACTGCTACCAAAATAATAGCTGGGTGTTGTGGTGGGCGCCTGTAGTCCCAGCTACTTGGAAGGCTGAGGCAGGAGAATTACTTAAGCCCAGGAGTTTGAGGTTGCCATGAGCTGTGATGTCTTGGCACTCTATCGAGAGCGGCATAGTGAGACTCTGTCCCATTTAAAAAAAAAACAATTATTGTTGTGTATACACAATTTGTTAATGAGTAATAGTTGTTTTATATGTGGAATTTATAATTACAAAGGGAATGGCTTTGTATTACAATTGATTTTATTTACTTATTTGAAGTGTATAGCAAACACAGAGTATAAGTCTACACATTTTAAGAAAGGAAAAAACTGTTAAAATTTTAATATTCAAATCATGTTTGACTTGTACAGTTACAAAAGCTGCTCAAATGTGATTTGTATTCATCTTTTGTCATAGGTATACATCAAGTATTATACTTTTAATAGTTTTTCCTTTCTTAAAATGTGTACATAAATATGTATATATATTTGGTACCCTTTGTATTTGGCATCCTGAATGTGAGTACACTTCATAGAAACCTCTTGTATTTGTCACTCCCGTTCAGATATTTTCAAATTCAAAGAAATGAGCAAGCAATGAAATCTCCCTCCCACCAATTTCCTGGCCCTTTACTTTGCTTCTGTAAAGCAACCAGTGATGTCTTTGGCATCTTTCCAGAGATGTTTTTATGCACATACAGACAACTTTTAAGAACTTTATAAATATGAGGGCAGAAAAAGTACTTAGCAAATATATATCGATCCCTTGCTGTGTGCCAGGGATCATACTCTTCCAGGTGTTTGGAACACAGTAAAACTCAGAATTCTCATGGGGAAAGGCAGGCAGCGAATTATAAAGAGAAAAATTAAGTAAATTATATAATATTTGTTATTTGTTAAAAATTAGTAAGTACTATAGAAAACCTAGATGAAAGTAAAGAGGGTCAGTTGTGAAAAATTTGGAGAGCAGATTGCATTTTTATATAGAATAGTGGAAAATATTTGAGCAAAGTTCTAAAGGAGGTGAATTACGTATCTAAACAAAGAACAGGGCTTCCTAAGTAAAGGGAGCAATCAGGGTAAAGGCCTTAAGGAAGAAACTGTATGTTAAGTTTATATTGAAACTTACCTCTTCGGGTGTTTCTGAAGATCTGGTATGCTGGAATTTGGTAAACAGATCTTTATTCTGTCCAAATAATGTTATTTTATAGAATTCACTATTTTAGTTTTCTTTCCAAATGGATTAGCCCTTTTTTTCATTCTGATCTACATGCTATTTTATTCCCCCAATCAGTTTTATAAGCCACTTTTTCTGAAATGTTTATCTTTCTTTTGGTTCATTAACTAAAACCATATTCACAGATGGGAAATAAACGATGGAATTCCTTAGAAGCACCAGATTCAGTTTTGTTTCCATGGGACTTAAAGTCTACTTATATCAGATGTCCTTCATTTTTTGATAAACTTGTAAGTACTGTTTTAGCCTTTGATCTTTTAAAGATTGTTTTCAGCTAAGATCTTGCAAAGGGTTCAATGCCTTGAACTTTTTACTTTTTAGACCAAAGAGCCAATTGCACTCCAGCCTATTGAAAATGCCCATGTCTTACTATATTTGGGAGACTCTGTTACGACAGATCATATATCACCTGCTGGAAGCATCGCTAGGAATAGTGCTGCTGCTAAGTATTTGACAAACAGAGGGTATGTGTGTGTGGCTTTAAGCTGTTTTGTTTTGTCTTCTTTCTCACTGATTAAGAGGCTTCAACGGGTCATGTTCTTTTATCCAGTAAACGTGCTGCATGCTGTCATAGGTATCTGTTGTTGCATTTGACTTAAAAAAGCTACGGTCACCTGTTTCACCTGCTTATATCTTAGAAATTGAAATTACTGTTTTAAATTGATCCTGTATAGTCTATATAAACAACTGATTAGAAATAAAATTTTTCTTTTTCAGTGTACTTTGTTGAAAAGTCAGCTTGGTTTGACCTACCAAATGTAGCCTGATCATTTGGGTCTACCAGCTTCCCATTATTGGAGTACAGAATCTAAATGTGTATTGTATGGGCTATAAAATGCACATGAGACTAATATGAAATCAAAAGACAATGAATTTCTGCTTTTTTTTTTTTTTTTTTTTTTTGAGACAGAGCCTCAAGCTGTCCCCCTGGGTAGAGTGCTGTGGCATCACAGCTCATAGCAACCTCCAACTCCTGGGCTCAAGCGAGTCTCCTGCCTCCGCCTCCCAAGTAGCTGGGACCACAGGCACCCGCCACAACGCCCAGCTATTTTTTGGTTGCAGCTGTCGTTGTTTGGCGGCTGGGCTGGATTTGAACCCACCAGCTCAGGTGTATGTGGCTGGCGCCTTAGCCACTTGAGCCACAGGCGCCGAGCCTGAATTTCTGCTTCTTAAACCTAAAATTTTATAGGAACAACAAACATGAAAATATCTGCAGCTAGTCAAATCTTATTTCATTTATACATGATTAGTAATATGCAATTGCTTTGTTATTGACGGACTATTTTGACACCAGAGACAAAGTTTTGCAAAAAAAAAAGTTGTAATACTACTGTCTGATTACCTTTTAATGCTTAAGTTGATGCTTGAACAATTCAGATGACAAGATTTTTCACTGAAATATGTTATAAAGATTAGTCCTATGTAGTCTGGTTTGACGTGTAATCCAGCTTGAATTTGTTACTGCTCAAAGATGGGGCATGTTGAGCATCAATAAGAATAGTAACTGGAAGGGACTGAAGCATAGCAGTATATTTAAATGCATGATTATAATAAAGGAAAAAACAAAAATCAGCTCATTTTTTTTGGAAATTGGAGAACAGTCAATTTTTTTTTTTTTTTTGAGATAGAGTCTCACTATGTTGCCTCGAGTGCTTTGGCATCACAGCTCACAGCAACCTCCAACTCTTGGGCTCAAGCGATTCTATTGTCTCAGCCTCCCAAGTAGCTGCCACAGTGCCCAGGTATTCTGTTGTTGTTGAAGTTGTCATTGTTGTTTAGCTGGCCCAGGCTGGGTTCGAACCTGCCAGCCTTGGTGCATTTGCCATAACCACTGTGCTACGGGCGCCAAGCCAATTCTTTTTCTTTTCTTTTTTTTTGGCAGTTTTTGGCTGGGGCTCGGTATGAACCCACCACCTCCAATATATGGGGCCAGTACCCTACTCCTTTGAGCCACAGGCACCACCCATAAGCAGTCAATTCTTTTTTTTTTTTTAATAACTCACATTCTTAGTAATCAAAGATACTTTATTTATTTATTTATTTATTCTGTAGTTTTTGGCCAGGGCTGGGTTTGAACCTGCCACCTCCAGCATGTGGGGCAGCGCCCTACTCCTTTGAGCCACAGGCGCCACCCTAAACAATCAGTTCTTTAACCAGCTTTTCTTACATGGGGTAACCAAATCCTTGATGAAGGAGAATTTATAGAAGTTTTCCAACTAACAAATGAAGAAGGAATGATTGAATTAGAGAATCACCATTTTGCAGTCTCATTTGAAATAATCAATCTAGGCCATGATAATCAATTGCAGATAATATTCCAGAAAAAGACAATTGAGTATCATGTGCTTCCTGAGTACTTTGTTGCCAGAAATTAAAAATGTGAAATTTTATCAAACCACTGGATCTGACATCTGGTTTACAAGAAACACAAAAGACAGAAGGATATATTAAATGGTACTGTGGAGGTGTAGTAAATCCAGTCTAGACAGGGAGGAAAGGGAACACAGACAGTTGTCCCTGGGTATGTGTAGGGGTTTGGTTCCAGGACCACCCTTATATATCCAAATCTGTGCATATTCAAGTCCTGCTCTTGGTCCTGCAGAATCCACATACATGGAAAGTTAGCCCTTGGTGTACATGAGTTTCTGGGTCCTACAAATACTGTATTTTCAATGGGCATTTGATTAAAAAATAGTCACACAGTGGGAAGAGGGGAGAAGGGAGTGGGTTGGAGAGTCATGGTATATAGCACAACTCTTGGGGGCGGGACAGAATTATAAGAGAGAGAGACTTTAACAAATGCAATCAATATAGTCAAATTATTTGTGCCCTCAATGAATCCCAAACAATAAAAATAAATTTTAGGCTTGGCACCCGTAGCACAGTGGTTAAGGCACTGGCCACACACGCTGGGGCTTGCCAGTTCGAACCCAGCTGGGGCAAGCTAAACAATGATGCAACAGAAAAATAGCTGGGTGTTATGGTGGGCACCTGTAGTCTCAGCTACTTCAGAGGCTGAGGCAAGAGAATCACTTAAGCCCAAGAGTTGGAGGATGCTGTGAGCTGTTGACACCGTGGCACTCTACCAAGGGCAACATAGTGAGCCTCTGTCTCAAAAAACAGTCATATGTAAGTTATATATAAGTCAACCCTCACAATTTAAACCCGTGTTGTTTTAGGGTCATCTACAGATTAAAAGAGACTTTATAGTTTAGATCAGCTGAATGCATTTATGAACCGCATTTGAATCCTGATTTGAACAAAGCAACTTTAAAAAAATAGGGAGAAAAATCAGGGATGTTTGAATATTGACTAGCTATCTGATACAAAGAAATTATTGTGGGGTTTTTTTAAATATGTCTACATAAAGATGGTTTTTTGTTTTAAGACAGAGTTTCACTCTGTTGCCCAGACTGAAGAGCAGTGGCATCATAGTTCACTGCATCCTCAAACTCCTGGGCTCAAGTGATCCTCCTGCCTCAGCCTCCCAAATAGCTGGGACTACAGGCAAGGTGTGTGTCACCATACCTGGCTAATTTTTTCTATTTTTAGCAGAGATAAGATCTCTCTCTTCCTTAGGCTGATCTTAAACTCCTGACCTCAAGCAATTCTCCTGCCTTGGCCTCCCAGCGTGCTAGGATTATTGGCATGAGCCACCTATGCCCAGGTTGAAGATCTATTTTAAAGAATCTATATAGCAGGGCTGGGCACAGTGGCTGCTCATACCTGTAATCTCAATTTGAGATCAGACTGGGCAATATAGTGAGACCCTCTCTATATTGTCTCTCTACCAAAGGAAAAAAAGAGTGAGTCTCTGACTTTTAGAGAAACACTGAAATATATAGAGTTATAATAAGATTTCTGAGTTTTGCTTCAAAATCTAATGGAGGTGACTATAGTAGAAACAAAGAGTCCATTGAGTTGATCATTATTGCTTGATGACAGGTACCTGGACATTCACTATTCTGGTGTCTTTGCTTTTGTACATGTTTGAAATTTTCCCTAACTAAAAAATGTTCTTGAATGTGTTTTACAGCTCAGTAATACAATAGTATGTGACTGTTTTCCGTCTGGATTGAAAACTGACTTTGGTAACTTTCTTGTAGCCTTACCCCTCGAGAATTCAACTCTTATGGAGCCCGAAGAGGAAATGATGCTGTGATGACAAGAGGCACTTTTGCAAATATCAAGCTTTTTAATAAGTTTATTGGAAAGCCAGCTCCCAAAACAATTCATTTTCCATCAGGACAGATGGTAAGAATGTATACAAAGTATTTAGGCAGTTGTTAACTGGATCAAAATTTTGTATTAAAGATTTTTGTGTTTGTTTTAATCTACAGCTAGATGTATTTGAGGCTGCCGAGCTGTACCAGAAAGAAGGTATTCCACTGATTATTTTAGCAGGAAAAAAATATGGTTCGGGAAACTCAAGAGACTGGGCTGCCAAAGGACCATATTTGCTGGTATTAATTCTTAAAATTTATCATCTTAAGCTTCAAAGGGTTTTACATATTCCCTTTTGTCAATAACATTCTGTCAAAGTTTCTTTTGCCTATTTGAATTTTTTAATACTTATTTGAATCTCATTTACAGGTTGTTTATTTCAGTGATCTTAGCTAGTACTTTGTACTCATCTAGTTAATTGTGTTTTAGTACTCTGAATTTGATTAAACCTGGATCAGTGAGGAAGTCAGTATGGTAGAGGGAAAAGAGATTCTGTCTTAAACTATTATTTTAGGATAATTACTTATGCCTATTGGTAGTTTTACTTGCCTTCTTTTCATTTAATTTTCTCTGATTTGCTCCATCAGGGGTTAAGGGACTCAGGTAGTGGGTGAGATTTCACCTCTCCCCCACCCTCACGTTTCTTTGCCAGGAAACATTCCTCCTGAGACTGTTTCCTTCTTGTAAGGCAGGTCGGCTGTCTGCTGGAAGGACTAGTCATGTGACATGTGCTTCCTGCTATTTCATACTGACAAGCGCTTCTCTTTACGAGTCGAGTTAGTTGTAAAAAGGCTCCCCAGAACACAACCCTCATAGCATATCATGAAAACTTCATCTTCTTGAATCTTTAATTTCTCCTTTAAAGTTCAAATACTCTTAAGAACTTAGCACACTGTCTTTTTTTTCTTTTTTTTTTTTTGAGATGGAGTCTCACTACGTCACCTTTGGTGGAGTGCTGTGTCGTCACAGCTCACAGCAACCTCAAACTCTTGGGCTTAAGTGATTCTCTTGCCTCAGCCTTTCAAGTAGCTCTTTTCTTTGCTTTTTTTTTTTTTTAGTGCAGTGTTTTTCAACCTTTTTTATCTCACAGCACATTTGAACCTATAGTTGAGCTTCCATAGCACACTTAAATTATGTTGATCAAAAAAAGATTAAAAAAAGAATATATTTACTGTGCTTTGAACTTCTTTCAAAAATAATTAATGAGCTTTGTGCCCATAGCACAGTGGTTATGGAGCCAGCCACATACACGGAGGCTGGAGGGTTCAAACTCAGTCTGGGCCAGCTAAAACAACAATGACAACTGCAAGAAAAAATAGCCAGGCATTGTGGTGGGCACCTATAGTCCCAGCTACTTGGGAAGCTAAGGCAAAAATCCCTTAAGCCCAAGAGTTTGAGGTTGCTGTGAGCTGTGACTTCACAGCACTCTACCAAGGGCGACATAATAAGATTGTCTCAAATAAATAAATAAATAAATAATGATGGTTCAGTGCCTGTAGTTCAGCCGCTAGGGCCCAGCCACTTACACTGGAGCTGGTGGGTTCGAACCTGGCCTTGCCCGCCAAAAAACAATGACAACTATAACCAAAAAATAGCCAGGCATTGTGGCAGGCACCTGTAGTCCCAGCTACTTGGGAGGCTGAGGCGAGAGAATTGCTTAAGCCCAAGAGTTTGAGGTTGCTGTGAACTGTGACACCACTGCACTCTACTGAGGGCAACAAAGTGAGACTCTGTCTCAAAAAAAGAAAAAGAAATGTAATTAATTATCTTTAAAATTTTTTACAGCATGCCTAAGATCCTCTTGCAACATACTGCTTGAAAATCAACTACCTTATAGTAATAAACCAAATTCTCATCCTTCTGTGATATTAATTATAAGCATTAATTATAGGTATAGGTTCTTTTTATTCTGAAAATGTATTTAGTCTCTGTTTGTTTTGAGCCAGAGTTTCATTTATTCATTTATTTTATTTATTTATTTATTTTTTTCTTTTTGCGACAGAGTCGCCCTCAGTAGAGTGCTGTGGTGGCATCACAGCTCACAGCAACCTCAAACTCTTGGGTTCAAGCGATTCTCTTGTTTCAGCCTCCCTTGTAGCTGGGACTACAGGCACTCACCACAACACCCGGCTATTTTTTGTTTGTTTAGCAGGCTTGGACCCGATTCGAACTCACCAGTCCCATAACCACTAAACTACGAGTACCAAACCTGTTTATTCATTTCTTGTTTTTGAAGTACTCTTTGATGACATCTTTGGCCTGAGATTCTTTGCCATAGTCTTTTACTGTACAACTGCAGTCAACCACTTTACAGGGGTTTCACCTCTTTGTCAGTTTTACAAAGGCCTACCCATTCCCTTAGTTTCTTGTTGTCATAAGCTTTAATTAGGTTGATTTGGAGTTCAGCACAAAGGGCCTCCACCAACGTGACATATACATAGGCTCATCACAGTTGGATGCAAACACACAAAGATGGGCTTGTCGCTTATCTAAGGCTTTGGCAGCCTCTGAGATTCCACGTGCAAGGCCACTGGATGAGGGCAGGCTTCAGCACCTCTTGTAAAGCAGTGTTAACATGCATTACACCTCCAGCAGCAATGCCTTTTTCCACTAGGATGATGAGTTACAGGTGAAGCTGAATCTTTACCTCATCTCCACGCCTCCACCTCCACACTGCTTGGCAGCAATAGGGAAAGAGTTGGTGTCTGTTTTGTTTTGTTTTGTTTTTGAGACAGAGTCATATGTCACCCTCAATAGAGTGTGGTGGCATCAGAGCTCATAGCAACCTCTAACTAACTACAGGCGCCCACCACAATGCCTGGCTTTTTATGTTGTTGCAGTTGTCATTGTTGTTTAGCAGGCCTGGGCCAGATTTGAACCTGCCAGCCTTGGTGTATGTGGCTGGTGCTGTAACCACTGTGCTATGGGTGTTGAACCTTAGTGTCTATTTTTTATGTTGCAGGCTTTCCTCCTATAGTTGGTGATCTTTGGCTTCTATTTAGTTAGACATTAACAACTTGATTATAAGCTGTAGGTGGGGACTGAGTTTTGACAAATGGAAGGTCTTACTGTAGATTATTGGGTTATAAGCTACCTTTCTCATTGAGAAAGCCCTACATGTGGTTATATTTTTTCTGAGGCCATACAGGTTCTTCAAGGAAGCAGACTTCGTTCAGGATGCAGACTTCTACTTTATCCCTGTATTTTCAGTCAGCATTCTCACCCTCGCCTTCCCCTTGCCTAGTGTTCTTTAGTCTAGAAAATGCATTATCAGCAGGGGTGATGGCACCCCACTCCCAAGGTGGTGAAAATTGATTCTTAGGTAGTGAAAAAAAAGTCTTACTCTTTTTATGTATAAAGTGCAGATAAACACATAGTATCTAACAAACAGTATGTTTGTGGTATTAAAATATCAGAGGGAGAGGAGGTGAAGAGAAAGACACGATTAAGGAAAAGTTGTCTTCAAAGCCTTCTTAGGGGCACCCGTAGCACAGTGGTTATGGCACCAGCCACATGCACTGAGCCTGGCAGATTTGAGCTCAGGCCAGCTAAACAATGACAACTGCAACAAAAAAAATAGCCAGGGAAAGGGCAACAGCTTGAGACTGTCTCAAAAAAAAAAAAAAGCTTCCTTAGGAGACAGTAATAGTTTGGAAAAGAAGTTGCAAAGCACAAGTCTAGAGCCTCTCCAGCCCATTTTCTGCATTAACCTCTACTCGTCTAGAGCGGATTTAACTGGAAATCTGCTTTTTGTAGACTTGATTTGTAATCAGTATTCCAGTGTTCTGAGAATCTTATGCCTCTGAGTCTCAAGTTTTTCCTGGGTTTTGTGTTGCAGTTGACTCAAACCTCGTTGGTATTACCCTGATTTTAGTTTATCATTCTGTAGTTTCAACATTGTCTAAGTCAGTTACCTATCTGTTGTTTGTTTGTTTGTTTTGCAGTTTTTGGCCAGGGCTAGGTTTGAACCCACCCCTCCGGTATATGGCGGGTATATGGGGCCGGCGCCCTATCCCTTTGAGCCACAGGTGCCGTCCCAGTTACCTGTCTTTTTTTTTTTTTAAATCATAGCTGTGTACATTAATGCAATCATGGGGTACAATGTGCTAGTTTTATATACAATTTGAAATATTTTCATCAAACTGGTTAACATAGCCTTTACGGCATTTTCTTAGTTATTGTGTTAAGACATTTATATTCTACACCTAGTAAATTTCACATGTACCCTTGTAAGATGCACTGTAGGTGTGGTCTCACCAATTACCCTTCCTCCACCCATCCTCCTTCCTCCCCTCCCCTCCCTTTCCCTTTCCCCCCTTCTTCTTGGTCTATAGTAAGGTTGAGTACATTGGATACTTTTTCTTTCATTCTTGAGATACTTTGCTAAGAAGAATATGTTCCAGCTCCATCCATGTAAACATGTAAGAGGTAAAGTCTCCATCTTTCTTTAAGGCTGCATAACATTCCGTGGTGTACATATACCACTATTTATTGATCCATTCATGGGTCGATGGGCACTTGGGCTTCTTCCATAACTTAGCAATTATGAATTGGGCTACAGTAAACATTCTAGTACACATATCTTTGTTATAATGTGATTTTTGGTCTTCTGGATATATACCTATCTTTTAAATATTTATAAAATCTCTCATCCTATTCCCTGTGTTCCTTGAAGTTTATACCTTATTTACTCCCTCATTTTAGTGGCATTTCAAGAATGAGTGTTGAAGAATACATGTGTTCGATCTGCCATGTTTAAGCAGCCACCCTGTTTATAGAACTCTTTCTGTGTGGTGGGCAGAGCCAGCACTTAACTCTGGAGTGGTGGGAAGAGGAGTGGAGCCCAAATAACTCAGGGAATGCCTTAAAAATCCAGAAAAATAATCTTTTAAAAGGCTTCTATAAATCTTTACTAGATCATTGATTCATATGAGGTATTAAACTAAAAGTGGTTTTTCCCTTTAAATGCTCAGTGAAACCAACGTTTACAGTGATTAGAAAAAATAAAATGCATGTCTGTTACAGGGTGTAAAAGCTGTTTTGGCTGAAAGTTATGAAAAAATACACAAAGATCATTTGATTGGAATTGGCATAGCTCCACTACAGTTCCTTCCAGGAGAAAATGCAGATTTCTTGGGCCTGTCTGGCAGAGAAACATTTTCTTTAACATTTCCTCAAGAGCTGTCTCCTGGGATTACATTAAATATTCAGGTATCTCTAAAATTCTCAAATATATGATTATGCATTCTGTACTCAAAGAAATGGTTATAAATGGAACATAACTTAAAACTTATTTAAAGTAGTTCATGTTCTTTGGAGAAAAGTAGAAAGAGCAGGATATTTAGTCCAGAAAAAAGATCTTTGGAAGGGTATCTTGCCTTGCAGTTACTTTTGTCTGCTTCCTTTTCCTGGATTTGAACTCTTGGTGATCTAAGTTTAACCCAAGCATATACATCACTCCAAAGCGAAGGTGGAGTTGAACATTCATGGTTTAAAACACAGATTTTATGACTAAGAAAATAAAGGGAAAACTTAGAGGGTTATGTACATTGAACTACCTGGTGTAAAGTGAATATGAGTAGTGAGTATAACTTCCTCAATGTCAAAATTGACATGCTTTGATCTAGTGTTCCAGGATAGTATACTTGTCATTTAGAATTAGGGATGAAAACAACTGTTTTTCTACCTAGCTGTGAAGCTCACAGTCAGGTATCTCAAATGTTTTGCTAGCAGCAGAAGGGTTACAGATAATCAGAATGTATGAAATTAGAACCAGGAAAATCAGACAGCATATGTAGCAAGTATAGTCGTTAAATACAGAGACAAATTTTTTTTTTTTTTTGAGACAAATATTCTTAATCACTAAGTAACACTTGGAAGATTTTACCGCTCACATAAGATGTTTTTGTTTGTTTAAAGACAAGCACTGGAAAAGTGTTCAGCGTGATTGCTTCATTTGAAAATGATGTGGAAATAACATTGTACAAACATGGAGGATTATTAAACTTTGTGGCACGAAAATTCTCATAGTATCTACTCACCATGGGTACCTTCCATAACTGGTAACTGCAAAGCCTTTTGTGCTGGACCCAGGAATCCTTACCATGGAGCTGCAGATAGTCCCAGTATACTCACTTATCTCCTCCATGGATGTAAATGATTATGAATCAACGTAGTGACTGAAATGAAATCTTCTTGATTTTAAATAATATACGAATGGTGCTATTAACATTGCTAAAATCAACGTGTGAAGTGTGTTGTGGAAGAGACCTGTAAGTATGGGGGGGAGATATTTTATCAGACCATTTTGTAAATAAAGGCAGATTTGAACTTGTGTTGAAGATTCTTATACATGTATGAGTAACCTTCCTGAAGTTGTTTAGTTTTGCACCTATAAAACTGTGTACTACTGTTTGTTGGTTAAGAGTAGCAGGTTGAAATATAAGAAGCCAGATTAAGACTCTAAAATGATTGGTTGGAATCTGATTTATAAATGGGCTTTTATTGATTCCTTTTCAGAATTGACCTGGACACATTTGGCTTTTTTAGTTTATCATATAAGCCAGGTTTATCCTCAGTGTTGGTCTAACTATAAGTGATAAAACCTGCCCCAGATCACAATCATTCTGTCTAATCCAGCCAAAGTTTCCTCCATATCCGAAGATGTACCATGGCAGAATATAGCTAATTGCGTGGTAGCATGTCTTAGCAATGGAAATACAGTAGAACCTCTGTAAGTTGACTGCCCAAGGGACTCTAAGAAACTGGTCAACATACAGAGGTGGTCAACATAAGGAACTAGGCCTATTGTACATGTCTGGTAAACGTAAGGAGGTGGCCAATTATGGAGGTTCAATATGTATCACATCTGATACAGCCCTTAATTTTTTAGTAATTTGCCACTGGCAAACTGATCTCTGGCAAGCTTCAAATGGCATATTAATTGGGTTAAAAGTATTTTGCTTGCCCTATGTAATACTATAATTTCCCATAACCTACTATTTTAGATATTATTAACTACAATTCCACACTCATTTTATAGTTGATGAGGAGAATTCATTTAATCATTAAACTCTAAACTGATTTACTCTAGACTTTTAAATTATCTACCCTAAATTGTATAGGTGCTTAACCGTAGCATTTTTTAAGTGTTGCTATTTCTTAATTAAATTGATTTCCTATCATTTTGAATTTTACCTGGGATGCATGATTCTATTAGTTTTGTTATATTACTGTTTTAACCAAAGCTAACTGTAAGGATAAAACACTTAAGTGTTGCTATGTCAATTCCATATAGTCTCAGTGTGTGTCTGTCCACCACATGAAATGTTTTGTCAAAAAGATGTTTGGCACCTTTAAAAAGAAAAGTTGAGTAATTAATTCCAGAAGGTTCCATACCTTTTTAAAACTAAGAAGTTAAACTTAGTGGGCTAAAAGTTAAGTGTAGTGATTTTTTCAATGTGACCTACTTAATGTTACTGCATTTCAGAATTTGCTTACTTTGCAGAGTAAAGAATTATTTGTTTAAAGCTAAAATGCTGAAACTACCAAACCAGTGGATGAACACCACTGAGAACTTTGCACATAATCAATCAATCTTTGAAAATATTTTGCAAATATGTGCTTAGACAAAAAGATGGACTATAGCTTGACAAAGCAAATTTCCCCTTCATTTAAATTTTTTATAGATATTTTCTTGGGTACTTTGAAGTTATATTGTGTTTTCAGTATATGCTGTATATCTGTCAGTGCGTGTGTTTTTAATTTATAGGAAAACATGAGTTAGGGATGGAGATCTTAACAAATTTAATGTTAAGCTACCTGTGATGTGCTTTGAAAAAAAATGGTAATTCCAGATGGTATGTGGGGGGAGAATCTGTATTATTTTGAAGGCAGACTATATACCATGTATATAGTCTGTGGGCAGAGGCACAAGCATTCATCATTAACATCGGATCCAGGAGACAATGAGGAACTAGCCAGCTAGCTGGCTAGCTAGCTATGAATTTAACATTTATATTTCCTTTCTACCTAGTCTAGTAATAATACAAGTAAATCTTGTATTTCAGGAACAAAATCAAGGTTCTCATTTTTTGCTTATATACAGTGAACCAAATGTTTAATAAACATGGTTTTAAATTGGGAAAGAGTGATAGACGTATGTTCCAGTGTGTCTAACTTACAATTGTGTTTCTAGCCAAATGCTGTGTTTGCAAAAATCTGGCATCTGTTGGGTTTTTTTTTTTTTATCTACTTGTTGACTATATCTAGATAATTTTGTGTTACAAAAAAAAATAAAAATTTTGTGAAAAGAAAGTGTAATTGGCACACACACACACAAAAGCTAGTGTTGTGAGATTAAAGTACAAACTTAAAGGTCATTACCAACAGCAGCATTTTAAAGATCTTTTTAAAACACGATGCTGCATATCATTGCCATTTTCATACCTTTGGCTTTTGCTGCTCCTATAAAATAAAATCCGTGAAAATGTTATTCAGCCACTGAATTGCCATTATTACATCTAAAAAGTTTATAAGAGGACCGTTGTCCTTATTTCTGTTTTATCTCCATGTTGGTACTTTAATATGGGAGGTATTAAAATCCCTTTAGTCACATTGTTCAGTTTTTTGCTGGTAATCAAACTGCAGTTGTATTTAAAGGGAAGAAAGTAAAGCTAAGCCATACATACATCAGAATCACAGTTGATTGAATATATGGTTACACTGTCGAGTGCATTTGTCTTCTCTCAGTGATGAGTGACAGAATGAGGAGAAATTTGAGTGATGTTTTTCTGTGGTTGAATTAAAAGACACCTTTCTTTTGCCCTTAGGTTTAGAAGATAACTAAGATACTGGATATTGAGCCTATCTTAGTTTGATTTGGAGTAATAAGGACAGGAGAAGGGGATGGACTTCGGCTTTTTCAGTGTTTTTTCCCCCCAAAGGGTGATAGTGTCAATGTTTATATCAATTATACACATAATATGTGGCTATGAAACCATATATCTCAAGTTATTACAAATCATTGTCTATTATTTAAAGCCAACCAAACAGTGTAACAGTTTTAAGTTCAATAATGTTAAGTATTGTATAGAAATATATTGGAGGCAGGTTCAGTTGATGACAATTGTGTATATGTTACTGATGCTGTAAATTATTTTTAATAAAGAAAATTGTATTATCACATTTGACTCTTGTTGTAAAATATTTTGTGGTAATTGGAAATGAAACACCATGACTTAAAAAGAAATGGGATGCTATCCAGAAATTTCTCTTCAAACGTGTTATCTAAATATTTAGACATTAGTTATTCCTAATAATGACTGCAGAAATGTGGATCATATTTTATTCCGCTACTTAAATCTAGCAATTCCCTTCTTCTCTGGGGCTTATGAGAATGAAAACCAAGGTAAATACTTGAAATAAGGATGGCCTTAAGAAACAATGAAATTGAATATGATAGAGGAGTTGTTCCAATAAACCCTTAGATTCACACAATCACAATTTAGAATTGAAAAGACTAACATTTCATCCAAAGCAGGATTACTTGTACAAATAGTATTATCTTGAAAATTCAAGAGATTTCTCAAATACTCTGTACTGCAATAGGCAACCCATCCTATTGATTGAAAACATCTTTGTGATATATACCTGTAGTCCCAGTTACTTGGCAAGGTAACAAAGGAGAATTAGCTTGAGTCCAGAAGTTCAAAGTATAGTGTGGCCGTCGCATTCCAGCCTGGGCAACATAGCAAAATCCTGTCTCAAAAAAAAAAATTAATTTTGAACTGAAGTCTGCCTCCATTTAGCTTATGGATTAATACATATCCACTGATTTTGGTTTTCCCTAATCCATGTCTCCTTAACTTTTGTACAACTAAGCATTAAATACATATTAGTGAATAAATGGACCTTTCACAAATTACATTCTACATAACCACCCTTTATTGTGGAGGTGGTTTGTGTTAAAGTGACCGTTCAGGACGGAATTGGGAACATACTATGAACTGTGTATTCCACGAGGAAATGGCCTTTTCTTGAGGGTGTTAAGTATTACTGTTTCTATGCTGCAGGACCAACTAAGGGGGACTGCCTGCTCCCCAGCCCCCGTCTATTTTGGTTTTTTGAGACAGTATCACTTTGTCTCCTTGGTAGAGTGCCATGGCGTCATCTCTCACAGCAACCTCAAACTCTTGGGCTCAAATGATTCTCTTGCCTCGGCTTCCCAAGTAGTTGGAACTACAGGCCCCGCCACACTGCCCAGCTATTTTCAGAGATGAGGTCTTGCTATGGCTCAGGCAATCCACTTGCCTCGACTCTGCTGCCTGTTCATTAGTCCTCATGAAGTAGGTAATCCACAGGTCTCTACCCTAAAGGAATGTTTTGAAAATATGGTTGACTCCCCACATATCTAAAAAGGTAAGTCCTTTCTCCCACTCTTAGTTACAAACTAAATGAATTAATAAGGCCCATTTATTAAACTTTGGCATTCATAAACCATAACTGGCAGGCACATCTTTAAAGCCTTCTAAGAATTCCAACTTGGTACTACAAGTTTGCATTACAAAGGCTAATACCAACATAAGCATGGCTTATCCAATCTTTCTTGGAGGAAACAGACCATCAGTGTTGCATTTAGTTGGTTTAGTTTTCACTTGATGCCAGTTTTGCTTTTTGATTATACATTAGTTACTTCAACTTTATCATTTCAATTTGATGTGAGTAGTTTGGCTGATAAGTTTTCCAAAACATTAAGCTACAAAGCCTGTGTTCAGTGTACTTGTATTGCAAAAGTAGAGGTATATGTAACCCCCCAAAAATCTGCTTGTATAATAACACTTGTGTTGTCACTGTGAACTTTTTAATTTTTCATGTTATTAGCACTGAATTTTAAACAACCTGTAATGAGTAGTTTAAGGAAGTATAAAATTACTGGGCTATTAGGGTTTTGGTTTTGTTTTCTTTGAGACAGATTCTTGCTCTGTCATCCATGCTAGAATGCAGTGGCTTTACCATAGCTCACAGCAACCTCAAATTCCTGGGCTCAAGCAATCCTCCCACCTCAACTTCTGAAGTAGCTGGGACCACAAGGTACGTGCCACTATGCCCACCTTGCCATGACATTTCCTGTCTTAGATTGGTGCAACTTTTTATTGTGACATCCATTTTTGGCATTATTGAAGAAAAAACAAGATGTGGCAGCATTTATTAACAGCCTTCAGAGTGTTTATTCTTACAGTAATCTGCCTCTGCATAGTTTGTCATAAAGACATAATTTAAAATGCATAGAAGGTTTATGTATGAGCATTTTTTAAATAAGGAAGTGCTCAAAGTGAAAAGGCAATTTACAAAGTACGATATTTTTAAAGAAGGTGCAGGGAGTGGAAATATACACACACCAAAAAGGCTGTTGTGGATCTAATAGTTCTGTCTCTTCAATCCTTGTAATTTACATATTCAATCTTCAGTCCTATTCCCTCATCCTAAGAGGAGTAGGAAGACCAGTAAAGGTGGAACAGTGAGAAGCGGAGAGAGTTCAAGAACTGTCTGAGGGAATAACAGGTAAAGGGGTCTAAGGAGACCAATGGGATTAAAGTTCTTGTTACAAAAAATAGAAGTTAAAATTACTTTTTTAACAACCTAAAGGAATGGAACATTATGTCACCCTTGAGGTTCTAAAAACACAGCCCTGGCTTAGCACAGTGGTTATGGCGTCAGCCACATACACTGAGGCTGGTGGGTTAGAACCCAGCCCAGGGCCAGCTAAAATGAACAATGACAACTGCAACAAAAAAATTGCTGGGTGTTGTGGCAGGCACCTGTAGTACCAGCTACTTGGGAGCTAAGGCCAAAGAATTGCTTAAGCTCAAGAGTTTGAGGTTGCTGTGAGCTGTGATGTCACAGCCCTCTACCCAGGGCAACACAGTGAAACACTCTCAAAAAAATTAATAAATGAAAAAAAAAAAGACAGCGCTGCTCCTTGGAGATTAGAAATTAGATAAGAACCAAATCTAAAGTGGAAATACAGGTCTCCTCAAGAGGTTGTAGAGGTTTAGGATTCATCCAAGTTGATCAGGATGACTGTAGATAACCAGAATATGCTATATTCTGACAGAAAGGAAAGTATAGTACAAGCATTAGCAAAAACAAAATAAGAGACCAAGATGCAGGTAAGAGTGGACCGGGGTCTAGAACTCTCCTAGTAGACAGTGGTCTGACTTACCAGAGAAGTCCTAGTTGGCTGGAGAAGGGGCATCAAGCTACTTAACAGGTGCTCTTAACGATTAAGATCATCCAACTAGGGTGGCGCCCGTTGCACAGTGGTTATGGTGCTGGCTGGCCACATACACTGAGGGCTGGGGGTGGGTTCGAATCCCTCCAAGGGCCAGCTAAACAACGACAATTGCAACAACAACAAAAAATAGCTGGGTGTTGAGGTGAGCGCCTATAGTCCCAGCTACTTGAGAGGCTGAGACAAGAGAATCTCTTAAGCCCAAGAGTTAGAGGTTGCTGTGAGCTGTGACACTACAGTACTCTACAGAGGCGACATACTAAGACTGTCTCAAAAAAAAAAAAATCATCCAACTAATCTGGCTGATATCCATGAATCCCACGCAGCCTTCTGAAAATGATGCGGTTTCTGCAAACTTTACCGCAGGGAGAGAATCCACCGATTGCTCTACCTAAATAAAGATTCTGTCCCAGTTACCAGTTCCACTTCTCAGTATAATGACTAATTCTTCACAGGAAACCGGAACTGTGGTGACCTCAGCCCCCTGGGAAACCCGTGGGGGCAGCCTTCACTCTCCCTCTACCATATATTATGTTGAATTAAATGGGTCGGGAAAGGGGAGGAAATTCTAGTGCTGTGGCAAGAGGCAAAGCTGGGAAGTGGGTGACCAGGGTCTGTGTCATCTCGGCTTCAAGGAGCGTGTAGGCCCATTCGACACCTAAGACCTAATACAGTTCAGTATCCGGGGAAAGCTAGGTCGCGCGTCAACAGAAGCCAGGCCTGTCGGGACCTCTGATCAGGACCCTCGCCGTTGCTGGGCTCTCGTCTACCCCGGGCAGCACATTCGAAGGCGGCCTCTAGCGTACGTGCCTGCAGTAGAAGACAAAACCACAGCGAGGACTTGAGTCCTTTCGCCACGCTCAGAACGCCGAGAGCGGCGGTCCACGTTGCCTCCCTGACTGGCGGACTGGGCGGAACCGCGAGGCCGAAAGCCTGCTAAATGGCTACACACTGCGGGGCGGGGCGGGGCCTAACCCGAGAGAGCCAATCAGAAACAAGCAGTCCAGTTAGTGACAAGGTAGCCGGATTCTTACTGCGGCACCGAGAGAAGGCGGTTGCGGGGTTGCAGAAAGCCAATCAGAACCCCGATCTCTGAATTTCAGTTCACAGGCTCCTGGGCGGGGCCGGGAAAGCCCTGGTCGGCCTGGCTGCGCCCCGCCTTTCAGTAGTCTTCTCTGACTGGGCGGCGAGAAGGCTGAAGGAGCCAATCAGAAGTCAGGGTTCACGGTGCTCGGAGGAAGGGCGGCCGGAGGCGCTGCTGCTCCCTCACAACCTCCTAACGTGGGCGCGGGGCGCGGCCAGAGTACCAGGCTGCTGGCAAGCTGGATCCCACCCCGGGACGTCGGGTCATTGCTGGTGAGCAGAGGTGGGGAAAGCAGAGGCGAGCCCCAGATCTCCCCAGGGGTGGGAGAGACGCCCCGAGAACTGGGAGGCTTTCTGCTAGTCTGGAGCCCAGAGTCCTCGATCCTCCCAAAAGGGCAGGCTGATATCCAAGAATGAAAGCGTGGCATCCGAGAATCTGTCGGGCCCAACCCTCCTGAGATCTGTGTGGAGGAGCTGGCAGAGGGCAGGTGCGGCTCCTGACACTCGGAACCAGGTGTCTCATGGGCACAATTTCTAAGGCTCCACTATACCTCACTAATACAGTAACGTGTGAGCCTGACTAGTGTGCCCTCCGGTTCCCTTATTTTCCTGACCTTTAGGTCAACAACCCCTCTGCAGCCCGCTCAGCCATCCCTCTTTCTCCTTGACCCTGCAGGAAGACGCCAACTTATGCATTGTTGTTGTTGTTGTTGTTGTTGAAAAACTACAGATTCTAGATTCCCTACTCCCCTTAATGTTTCATGATCCCCTTGAAGGTTAACAGCTAGCTCTGTGAGTGAAGGCAACCCTTGAGTCATTCCATACTGAATAAGGAATCAAGGTAGATGCTGGAAATGCAGACATTTACCGGATACGGGTAAATGTTTACCTAGGAGGGACACAGCTAAACCTTGGAAGGACACAGCTTTACCTTGGAGGGACACAGCAAAAGGGGATGCAGGGGAAGAAAGGTAGATTTGGAAGATATGCTAGGGCAGAATTTGTAACACTTTGGAGCGGGGAACAGGAAAGAATCAAGAATGACTTCTGCCGGGTAGGTGGCTCACGCCTGTAATCCCAGCATTTGGGAGGCCAACGTGGGTGGATTGCCTGAGCTCACAGGTTCGAGACCAGCCTGAGCCAGAGGGAGACCTCATCTGTAAAAATAGCTGGGCATTGTGTGGGCACCTATAGTCCCACTACTTGGGAGGCTGAGGCAAGAGAATTGCTTGAGTTTGAGATTGCTGTGAGCTATGATGCCATGGCACTCTACCAGGGGTTCCCAAGTGAGACTGTCTCAAAAAAAAAAAAAAAAAAAAGAATGACTTCTGTTTCTCATTTGACATACCTTGCACGGAGTGTAGAGTGCAAGGTCCAGTACCCCTGGTGTAGGACAAAGGTTATGAGATTCTGGCACAAACCTTGCCATTGTGGAAAACATTTGCTTCCTGAGGGATTCATTTTTTCTTTTTCCAAGTAAAATACTGTTGGCAGGATATATAAACCAACAAATCTATAGGATTTGAACTCCTCCCTCCACACACAGGAGACATTGACTAAGACAGACATCTCTAATAGAATGTATCTTTCTTTGTATGTGTTTATTTATAGGAGTTGACTTGATTTGTGCTATTACTTCTATGATTTGAAGTCCTTTATTACAAAAAAGGGGGGGGCAAATTTAAACTCAGAAATAAATTTTAAACACAGAGAATTTTAGAGCCAGATGGGACTTTTAAGGATGATCTAGTCCTACTCTCTTTTAGAGGCAACTTGACTAGTCCAGAGTTTCAGAGGTTAAAGTACCAGAGCTGGGATTAAAATATGCCTTATTTCTGTGAGCACAGCAACTTTTATTACATTGAGCTCCTTTTGATGGCCAGAGTTGCCAACGTGACTTTGAACTGCTGCAGAAAACAAGGCTGTCCAGAGGCTCAACGAGCCCCATTCCAGGATATTACAGGAACGCATTCTGGACTAGGAAGGAGATTGGCCCTCACCAATTGCCTCTAAGGCTCCTTCCAACTTTTTTTTTTTTCTTTTTTGAGACAAAGTCCCAGCCTGTTGCCCTGATAGAGCGCCACGGCATCATACCCTATAGCAATTTCAAACTCTTGAGTATAAGAGATCCTCTTGCCTCAGCCTCCTGAGTAGCTGGGACTAAAGGCACCAGCCACGTGCCTGGCTAGTTTTTCTATTTTTAGTAAAGACAGGGTCTCATGCTTGCTCAAGCTGGTCTTGAACTCCTGAGCTCAAGCAATCCACCCACCTCAGCCTCCCAGAGTGTTAGGATTACAGGTGTGAGCCACTGCACCCAGCCTGCTTCCAATTTTAAGAACTTGTTATTCATATCAAATTCAGAATTATTTTGACATCCTTAATGCTTTGGGATTTGGAAAATTACTCCAGGATTTCACCTTGAAGTTAATACTTCAATTCATATTCACCAGTTTACATATATCCAGGAGGAATGTTAAAAGTCACGTGAAGTCTTAATCCCAAATACAGTGTGAAAAGGTATACTGGTTCCCAGAAGTTTCAGGTGCCAAGATTGTTTTGAAACTCCCTTTAGATCTTGTCACAGTATCTTTAGTGCACACAATCTGAACAGCTTAACTTACTTCTGAAAGCAAAGGCTCTGATTAGAAGAAATGCAGTAAGTATGACAGATGGTAGAAACCAAACAGTGGCACAGGCGGCTATGCAAGTTGGAGGATGAAGAAATCACTGTGGGTAGGAGGATCAAGGAAGGCCACAGAACGTGGCTTGACTCCTTATTATCACTGGACTCAGCGGGCTGTAGTCCTGGGACTGAGGCAGGGAGAGGATCGTATAGGAGAGTCCAGTACACCTCCCTGAATGTTATTCCCTCCCTCTCATTAAAGAAAGTTTCACTTTTGCTCTGACAGAGCCAAAGGTAATAGACAATAATGGGCATTTGGCCTGATTTGGGAGCTCCAAGTAGGTCCTAAAATCTACCCTTCTTAGTCTCAGCCAATGTCTCAGAAAGGTTCTTTTTTTTTTTAAGGTAAACTTCACATTCAGCAGGAGTTGCAGGTCTTAGTTTACTTGGTATTTAAGTGAAGTTTTTTGGTTTTGTTTGGTTGGGTTTTTGAGACAGAGTCTCACTCTGTCCTGGCTAGAGTGCTGTGGTGTCATAACTCATAGCACCCTTAAACTCTTGGGCTTGCTAGGCACGGTGGCTCATGCTTGTAATTCCAGCACTTGGGAGGCCAAGGTGGGTGGATTGCCTAAGCTCACAGGTTCGAGACCAGCCTGAGCTGGAGCAAGACCCCATCTCTAAAAATAGCCAGGCATTGTGGCAGGTGCCTATAGTCCCAGCTACTTGGGAGGCTGAGGCAAGAGGATCACTTGAACCAAAGAGTTTGAGGTCGGGTGGCACCTGTGGCTCAAAGGAGTAGTAGGGTACAGGCCCCTTATGCCGGAGGTGGTGCGTTCAAGCCCAGCCCCAGCCAAAAACTGCAAAAAAAAGAGTTTGAGGTTGCTATGAGCTATGATGCCATGACACTCTACCAGGAGTGACCAGGTGAGACTATGTCTCAAAAAAAAAAGGTTCAGCGCCTGTTCCTCCGTGGTTAGGGCGCCAGGCACATACACTGGACTAGCAGATTTGAAACCAGCCCAGGCCTGCTGAACAACAGTGGCAACTACAACAAAAAAATAGCTGGGCATTGTGGCAGGCACCTGTAGTCCCAGCTACTTGGGAGGCTTAAGCAAGAGAATCTCTTAAGCCCAAGAGTTTAAGGTTGCTATGAGTTGTGACACGGGTGACATAGTGAGACTCCAAAAAAGAAAAACTGGCTCGGCGCCTGTGGCTCAAG